GTTACCGACATCTGGTGAAAATTTCATGTCATTAGCACCTCTAGTAATATATTTACTGAGAAAAATGGTGACGTGTTCAATACTTATTTTATCTGCTGGGCATCAAATAAATAAATTAAATATGTTTACTTTAAATGTTTCAAATTTAAAAAGCTGTAAAAATAAATTTGATAAAGTACAAAAGAAAATATAGCATTTTAAACTTTTGCAACCAGAAGCTTCTTTTCATATTAGTGACAAACAGTAACAACAGCTTTTTGACAAGTTTAAAATTTCTTTAAAGTACATTCAAAATCTTTAAAAATAAACTACAAAATTAATTTAAAGTGCAAATTAAAATATAGTGGTATCTGCAACTGTATTTGATATGTTTCGAACTTTTAAATTATTTCATGGTAAAAACAGACGCTGCACTTCATATTAGTGACAAACTTTAGTGTTTTTTGACGAGTTACTTTCATTTTTGCTTCTACTTTTCATTTAAAATAGGTTTCCATTCTCAGCAGYTTTCTAAGGTTCTTCTTGCTAAAAAAACAACAAAAAATGGTTTCAAAGGTTCTTCTTCTACATATTAAAAACGTTGTTAAACAACTGAGTAGCACACTACTACCGCTACTAGTGGTGAGAAAGTGTATTGCACCTTATTCAAAATCAATGCGGTCCCACGGCCCTCTGCGGCCCAAAATCAAAAACTGTTGTTCTTTTGAGGCCCTCAAGGTGGCGCTAAGAATCTCTGGTGTAGAGTGAATATTTTTAAAATACACACAATTTGCAAATTATATTGGTTCAGGTGGGATTATAAAAATGTTGAAATGTGTCAAAATAAACATACAGTATAGCATATGAGGAAGAACATTGTGTTCCATTTTGTAAGTTATTTTTTTATTAGGGTGATTTTAAGGCTTTTTTTAAAAATTACTATTAAAGTATGTGCTGGTGCAGTTCTGTCCAAACTTTATGAAGTCAAATTTTAGATTCAAGCATGATTGTAACTGTTTTTATAACATCACGTTTCTTCTTTTTTACTGTAGTGTAAAGATTATAAAATTACCTGACCTACATTTATCTTTTTCCACAGGGAGGTTAGAGATGCACACAATGATTGTTTTTTTGTTTGTTTGTTTGTTTTTGAGTTTGGACAGTATGTGAGAGTGTTTAAATGTGTTTGTGTGGTTAAAGTAAATATTTGAATATCTTGTTTAGTTTCTGTGTAATATGTGTGGTTGCCTTTGCATTGTCTGTGGTGTCCTCACTTGTCCCTCTTACTGTCCTCTCTCGTGTGTATACACCTGCCCGAAACCCTCCTCCTCACAATACAGGAGATTTGGATGGCCATTGGTGGGACCATGCGTCATGGCATAGCAGCGAGGCCTCCCCACTGTCTTTGGTGAGACATGTGGAGCCCTGCCCTGCCCCTCCCTCCCTTTAACCCCCCCCCATCTCTCGCTCTCTCTTGTTCCGCCCCCAAGTCTTTTGTCATTTCATGTTTTCTTTGTTTTATTTACACCTTTGCATGTTGTTTTTTCTGTTTTTCTTTCTGTTTTTATCCCGCACCTATAGGGGAGAGTCAAAGGGGAAAAAGAAAAACTATTGAGCAGGCTTTTATGTCCGAGCCGACACACACCTTATCTGAGAGGCAAAAGAAAATGGTGCGCTTTGGTGGACACTCATTTGAAGAGGACTTGGCATGGTGTGAACCACAGGTTAAAGACTCGGGAGTTGATACGTGCAGTAGCACTACCCTAAACGAGGAGCATAGCCATAGTGAGAAGGTACTGAGACAAACTAGCCTGCATTTTGTGATTCATATTATTGTTTATTACTTACCTATTTAGTATTTGTTTACTTTCTGTCACTAAGTGTAAATAGATTAGAACATTTTCTTGATTTGTTTCAAATTCTTTTAAATCACTGGCGACTTTTTGTTTGGTTACTTTTGGCTCCACTTTGCTCAGTATCGCCGAAAAAGTCTTTTGGGAACACTTTTTTTGCTTGCTACTTGTACTTGCTGTTTTACCCTCCCAACACACACAAGCACACAAACGCACACCCCTTGCAGTAGTTGTTAAATGAGAGCACTAACACACACTCACTCTTTGTTTGTCACGGCACACAGAATGTGGGTCTCTTCTAGTTGCATGCTCGTCCTCCTTCGTATATTGTGTTCTTGCTCTGCAGCAATCCTGTTTAGTCCAGTAGGAACATCTTGCCACAGGCCCCACCCTCTCACTCTATTTCCCCAACACAACCTCCTTTCTTTCTCCATTCACTTCTATTGCAGAACCAAAATGCACACAAAACAGGAAAGATTGGATGTGTTTTGCACAAAGATTTATATTTGGTTTTCTTTATTCCCTTTCCTTCCATTCTTCTTATTTTATGTGATTTTTGCTCTATCTGCATCTCATGACTGTTTCATATTGTGAAATTTTCACCCCTTTAGTTTGTTGTATCTAGCACCCAATGGTCCAGTTTGGTTTTGTATCATTGGTTGGTTTCCCTCTCCTGTTTTTTGCTGTCTGCTTTCCTCTCACTACTCCAGTTGCTGGTAGTTGTGTGTTTGTGTTGTGAAGCATCAGAGTTAGACTTTTGGTCTTCCTCCTCCAATTTGAAGAGCTGGTTTGAGGAGGAGTGTTGGGGCTGCTTGCTTTTCTCTGCATGGGATGRTGCATGAAGCTCACTCCAGCCTCACACTGGCAGGTTTGCACAAGCTCTGAAAGTGACACCCAAGTCCTACAGAACAATTGGATTTCAGTGCTGACTTAAATGAATTCATGTTTAAAACATGCGAGCAGTTTGCCATTCAAACATWAAAGCAGTGTTTTATGACTCATCAGAGTTTGTGTGAACTTACCTTCCCAAGTGAATCATTCATGTATTACCTTTTGTGCCCCTGCAGTTGTCTTGTTTGGTTTGAGCAGACCGAGTTCAGGTGGTCGAGTCGTTAAACAAAAGGTGTGTTGTTGCTCTGACCTTGTAGCACCCGGTGACATGGCAGCCATCCAAAGATGGGGATCGCCTAATTGGCCGGATCTTGCTCAACAAGCGTATGAAAGACGGAAGCGTGCCTCGAGATTCAGGAGCTCTGCTTGGTCTGAAGGTAAGATTTTAGTAATGTATRAACGTAATTCTCATCATTTCTGCTGCTGGTTTTAACAGTGATGCACTCTCGTCTTTGTTATTCACCCCCACCCCACACTTTTTATCTATACCATGAAGATTTTTTGCATCATCATTTAAGAACTTTACTGTTTCTTGATAAAATGATAAAAATGAATATTTTCCATTAGTTCTTCTATGTTGTTTCATGACGTTCATATTTGGTAAGATTTTGCTGTATTTTAGGTACATGAGTGTAGTGAGTCATATGTATTAATGGAGAACTGGAAAGGGAGTTTTGGCTGTTTACCTGATTTCTGCTCTATGATATTGAAGTCTGGTTCGTCGTTGACACATTGAACACAGAGCTAGGGTGCGTGCGCCAAAAGTGCATTCAAACAGTTTGTTTTTCAAGGTTTTGCTTTCCTATTTACAACATTTCATAAGTTGTAAAATGTACTGCCGCATGTCCTTTTGGAGAATATGACAACAATGTAAGCGCCAAGTATAAAAACACCTACACCACTAGTGAAGGTGCGCCCACGCTCTGAGCAAGTACCCAAAGTGCGACTATGATCAAACCTTTTAACGCGCTGCGCTATACGGCCATAGCTTGGAGCTGTGTTACTGCCAGCATCAACCAGAAGGCTACAAACTGAAAGAAATATATTTGTTTCTACTGCAGAGTGCAATGCATGATGTGAGCCATCATTTGCATTTTTGTCTCCTACTCTCCAGCCTTTTCTTTTTGAAGCTGTAGGGTCAGTAGGGTTTTGCTGGCCTGAGACCCAAAAGTTTTTCAATGCAGTGCAGCCTCRATTCTTCACCAAAAGCAAATAAAAATGCACCCAGGGAAGAAAAACTGACTAATTAAATTTCTGATTCAGCCCATTCCTGTCCAAATCAAAGAGATACCTATTGGTATTGGATTAGCATTATTACAGGACCTCGGAGTTCAGCAAAACATAGTAGCCATTTACGGTGCAATATTTARTATTTACATTACTGACATGGCCAAWTCACACAGAATTAAAAACACAGACAATCTCTGCAATTATTACAAATAACATGTGGTCCCTAGGTAAAACTCATCCTGTAAAAATAAAGTTTAAGAATATTATAAGAATATTGAATTGTTGCTGAAGAGTAAATGAGGTAGTAAATGGTAAAGATGTATTTTTATAACAAAATGCTTGTATATAAAGTGAAACATAATTTCTCTAACATCAACACAAATGATTAAGTTTTATATTTTACCTGAAAACTGCTTATAAATTTAGAGAACATCTATGAAAGTGTCTGTCTTGAACATTCATTTTTACATTTTGTTCTTTATTATAACTTTTCACCTCTGAAGTTTCTAACTTGTTTTGTTCTTGGCTAAATGTACCCTCGAGTTCTGATTCTTCCTTGCATCATTCTATTATCCGTATTGACTGTGTACAACTGCTGTATCATTTTCCTGTTCTGTTTTGTTTCATTAAAGTCACTGCCTCGCCAAAGCAGAGCCTTTTATTTATTTTTTTTGTTGTTGTAGCTGCTTCTCTCTCTTTGCACAGTCTCATAAAGCCTGCCATGTGGAGAGAGCAGCGAGAGAAGCAAGATGGGGAAAAATCATTACTGATTGAATGAACCTCATGAAATGGCATGTTTGTGTCTGCTCAGTGCTTCTGTGCATTTCTGTCCGCTCAGCAGCTGCAGCCGACCAGCTCGGCCATCCAGCCAGTCAGTCTATCAGTCACAGGCTGCCAGCCTCGCCCTCAATGACCATCTTCCTCTGTCTCACCTCCTCCTCCTCCTCCTCCTCCTCTGCAAGCTTCTCTTTCTAGCTCCTGACTGTTACATAAACCCATTTCATTTAGCGGACTTCTCTAAGCTTCTTTATATGATGCATTCAGCTGCCATTTAGGAGGAATTTTTATTTGTATGATGCCAGTGTAAGATGAGTGCAGCGGAGTACAACAGCTCAGGAGCATACAGCATCTTTAGCCCACAGCTGTGCGCTGTTACTAAAATGTGTCTCTGGGGAGTAAAGCAGAGCCATGGATGGTGTTTTTGAAATATGAAGTATACCAATAACCCCTTCTTATACTTTTATTAAGCATGTCAACATGTGGACACTTGAAAGATAAATAAATCTCTTTTTCTGAGCTTTACTACTTTAGTCTTTATGGGTTGTCCCATGCAGAGGTAATGTGAAGTATTAAAAATGCAAGCAAGATTGAATTTCTAACTGCAGCTTTGTGTTGATTCAGAGCTACATTTCTCTTCCTCTGTAGGTGGTTGGAGGCAAGATGACAGAATCTGGAAGACTTTGTGCTTTTATCACAAAAGTGAGGAAAGGAAGTCTTGCAGACACTGTTGGACACCTTAGACCAGGTACTAAAATCTAATGAATATTCATCATTTAACAAATTAACTTGATTTAATTCTGCATTCTTTCTTTCTAACATGCTCACTGTCACACTGTGACAATAACAGATCCAAATAACTCATGTGGCGATTTTGCAGGTGACCAGGTGCTGGAGTGGAATGGGAGGCTTTTACAAGGAGCCACATTTAAAGAAGTTTACAATATTATATTAGAATCCAAGCCTGAGCCGCAAGTGGAGCTGGTGGTCTCCCGGCCTATTGGGTGAGAATTCAAAATGACTCTCAACACAACTGCACCAGGGGTGTCACCAGGGGTGGGTCAGAGAGGGTGATGGGCCCCACTAAAATACTAGTGGTCCCCACTTGGCCAGACGGTTTTAACTTCTCTAATTGTTAAATTTATGGTGTCATTAGCTGTCTAAAATGTTATAGTGTGAGAGGGCCTTTAGGATTAGTGGTACCTTATGGACATAAAAACAAACATAGTTTTGAGCAACTAAGAGGTAAAAATATAAATATATAATTTATTTACAAAAAAAAAAATCAACAACATACAATTTAGTTCAGTAGTACCCAAAGTTTTCAGCTTTTGATTTACAAAATAACAGTAGCAGAGGCCTGTGCCCCCAGCTATTTTTAGTTGATAAACACTGGCATGAGGTCAAATAAACAAGGGCATAGCAACAATATTCATAATGCTACTTTATTCCATTATAAGTATAGCAATCACATTTGTTTGTAACAACTAAGACAATAAATTGTTGTTAGTAGTGTTTTTTAAATGTAATTAATTCTGAAAATATTGTCAAGGCCCCACCTTGGTAATTCAGGACCCTACTGTGGGTCTTGACATCATCTTTGGGAAGCACTGATCTAGTTCCCCCAAAAAAGGACAGCTGGGCTAAAACTAAAGTCCTCAACATCAGGTTGCAGGGTCTCAGGATGTTAAATGTACAGAGTTTTTTTCTATAAATATAAATTGAGGAGAGGCTCAGTAAGTTGAGTAGTGACAGCGTTTTTCTCAATCAAAAGTATCAAATGTAAATTGTTGACAGTAGCTCAGCTTTAAGGCATTAGACCAGTTTTGTTTAGAACTATCAATCATTTTTATCATAAATCATTAGGCATTCTTTACAATTTGTTTATTTAAAGGAATCCCCATAGGGTCCACTGGTTATTGTGATTGTTCAGGTAAATGTGTGCCTTTGGAAGTTTTAAAGATATACAGTTCAGACAATTAAAATAACAAATTAGCATCTTTATTAGACAATTTTTCATTACAAAAAATATGAAGTTTATGTCTATATGAAAATTACAACAAATTTTTCATTAGATTTTGACATCATGTGATAACTTCCACTAACATTTTGCTCAAAGCTACACTGAAAAAGAAAGAATTTTTGGGTGTAGTAACATTTATTTAATTGTTTTTTAAAATTTTACAAAAAATATCAAAATCTCAAAACCACTAGATTTTACTAAATAAACAATACACATTATATTAAATATCAATATTACTGTACAAAAAAGRAAATGRTAATKMTATTTTACCAGWAATATTTAAGTGCTTTTTCTGGACAGCACATAAACATGAATATATTAAGTAACTTCTACTCTTCTGGGCTAAAACTGAGGGCGCATGCACACACAAAGGCTGCTGCTCCTCATTCCCTTGCTTCACTTTTCAAGGAGAGGTCAAGACATGGTGGAAATAAAACATAAGTTGTCTGGTTTCCTTTGCTTGAATACATTTGTTGGTGTGCAATAGTTTGATGGCATAATGTAGGTGATATTTAGTTGTCAGGGAACAGGGAATGCATATTGTAGCATTCTGCTGTGTTTGGCTGATTGTCATGTGACTGCAGTGGAGGATTGTGGGTAGGATTTGTGTTTGTTGTTGTTAAATCATTTTAGGGAATTGGTTAACATTGTTCTTTCAGCAATTAGTCTGTTGTGTTACTCTAATTTGTGTGTTCATTATTTGTTAACTTGTGTTAAACCATTCAGCAGAAGTAACCATAAGTGAGAGTGGTAGGCCTAGTCATTAATAAGACCTGTGAGTTTCACTTTGTCTGTGTTGTTCATGAAGAAGAATCCAATAAAGATTCTTCAAAACAGCCACCTGGTGGTGAAGTCTTGAACTACAACAAGAGCTACACCTCTCTCTGTAGCAGTGAGGTGTCATGCTACAATATTGTGCTTGATGCATGTGCACTGTTATAAAGAACTTGGAAGATTTGCTTGAAAAATCCTCTCGAAACAAGCACTAATGTTGGTTAAGTAAATTTAAATGCTACAAATTCAAGTAATATTTACTCATCATTATCTAGCAAAAGTTATTAAGAATATAGTTAAAGATTTGTGAATAAATCAGGTAAATTTTACTTAATTTGATCAATTATATGATACAAGATTTAACTGAGCAAATTAAGTAAAATTTACCTGATTTATTCACAAGTCTTTAACCATATTCTTAACTTTTACTAGATAATGATGAGTAAATATTACATGAATTTGTAGCATTTAAATTTACTTAACAAATGTTAGTGCAAATTTGTTAGAGGATTTTATTCAAGTAAATCTTACGTTATTTTTTCAGTGTAGACTCATATTTGGCAAACTTTTGTATTTATTGCTTTTATGGCACAGTAGAACTTAGACATTTCTATGATAGGACTAGTGAAGTATGACAGTGAACAGAGCTTGTGCATTTTACAAACTAGCTTTGAAGGAGAGGTTACATATCTGATTCATCCCATTTTTGTTCTTTTTGTCAAGAACCACCAGAGCTTCTAATAAAATAAAAACCTGCATTTTTTCACAGAGTTGTTTTTAAATAAATACAATTCTAAAAAAAAAAAAAAAATAGAAATACAGTTGCTGTTCGTGACTGGAGATTGATGTGATGCATGGCCATGCAAACAGTTTAATCAAAATCAGCTTAAACCGATCCACCCCATCGTTCTCGTCTTCTTTGTCATTGGTGTTTTTTTATGTTTTTAGAATTTTTCTCCTTTTTATTCCAGAGATATTCCAAGAATACCCGACAGCACACATGGACAACTAGAATCAAGTGAGTATTTTCTTCATCGCGTTTCAGCATTAGCTACGAATGTCGAAACAATGTTTTTAGAGTTAGTTCTGTATATTTCATTGGTTTTGATTTCAGTGATGACGGTTGTTGCCCTGAACGTGCAACCGTCAGTGTGTTTTATGGGCTTGTTTTATAAAACTACAAACTAAAACCAACATAAGCACCTCACAATTTGTTCTACCAGGTTCAAGCTCCTTTGAGTCTCAGAAGATGGATCGTCCATCAATCTCCATCACGTCCCCCATGAGTCCCAGCATGCTGAGGGACGCCCCCCAGTATCTGTCAGGACAGCTCTCAGTAAGTGACCTCAGCTCCACACTCATAAAAAAGCCTGTTGAATAATCTGAGTGTTAGCATGTAATTTACTCGTGCCATAAAAAAATGATGCTTGAAAACCAAGTTCAAACAGTTTTTGGGTCGACAAACTTTAGCATTTTTCTCTCAGTCTGTGTGCCTGGCTTTTCTCCAGCCCAGCAGGCCTGAAGATCAGGCTACTTTGTTTGTTGTCCATTATCTAGTATAAAAACTCTCTTGGGGTAAATAGGTACAGCGCTGCATTAAAGCAGAGGATCTGTGTTTCAGGCTGTTTTGTGTTTGGGAGCTGACCTTGAAATCCAAATCTGAGTCATGCCTCAAACAGTTTTGTTCATTCAGTGAACTTTGGATGATCTCAAGTGCCTAATGAGTAATTTTCCTCAGAGTAGAAATGAGTTGGCCCAGTGTTCAGTACATTTTAACAGAACTGTTTGCTTTATTGTAAGCTCTAAAGCAGAGAAGAAAWGGGCTCAGGAAGGACTGTTTGATACAACTATTAGATAGAACAATGTACTAATGATAGTTCTGCTGAAATGAGTGTGTGAAAAATATTTTTAATAGAACCGACCACTGGAAAGGTAACCAAATAAAAGAAGACCTCAGATGTGAACTACTAATTTGGGCTATTGTGTTTGAGTGTATTGTGAGTTTTCCTATTTCTTTTTCTTTCTTTCTTGTTTTTTTTTACTGTTTAATTTGACTTATCCAGAGCCAAAGCCTTAGTAGAAGAACAACGCCTTTTGCCCCTAGGGTTCAGGTAATAGGCCCAGTATGATGGGCACCAACTGTGTTTGGTCTTTACCTTATTGACTGTTGACTGGCTTTTTTCTCCATACTTTGAGAAATGCATTCCTGGGGAAATGGTAGCTTCAAATTTCCCTCTCAGTGGATTGCATTGTGCCATTTCCTTCAGTTTGATTTTCTTTAGTATCACAGCTATGATTAGTTCTTATTTCACTTAATTTAAACCCATTCATGTCATCCTTGTATCTTATTGCATGATCAACTAATTTACAGATTTTGAGAGACACTCTCCCATTGCCTTTTTTGTGCTGATTTTAGTTGTTTAGCTTCCATTAAACAGATTGGATTTTTTCAAAGGCATTAGAGAAGTTCGTCTCTATTATGTAATTTTTTTTGTCTGTTTTGAGGACAAAGGACTTGTTTTTTCCTGCTTCAGTGTACCATGTGTCAACGTATCAATTCTTCAAAGTTTACACCGAAATGTTTCACCAACTGTGACTAAAAATCATCCCATTGATCAGATCCCAGCTGATACAGTAGCTGTGTGGTTTCATGTTGCAGGGAAATGACACCAAGTTCACCGTCCTGTTTGGGAAACCAAAAACAAATTTCATTTTCCCTTTCAGTTGAAAATTTATGAATAAGCAAATTGTACCTGCCCAATAATTTCCCATTCACAGAAAGAGGGACTTCCTGATACATAAAAACAGTTCTTAAAGCTTTGATTGTCTGTACAATTGATTTGCCAAAGCTTTAAAGTTAAAGGTTAATATTTCTATTTAAAGCACTAATATGCATCTTACAAGTATATTTTCCTTTTATGAATTTGATTTGTATTTTTCAACAAGACACACAGCCTGTTGTGTGTAACAAAGCAAAAATACCGTCTACAATATAAAGTCTGCAGCTGATAAAAAACAATACGGTTTAATCTTTATGTATGCCTTAAAAGAATTCATTTATGTGTGTATAATGAGATAAATGTATCCCCAAAAATCATGGGGGTTGTATTATGCACAGGAATAAATTCTGACAGATTGTTTCTAATGTACTATCACAATAATTTTCAATACTTTCTCATTTAAAATTGAAATATTGTATCACAGGGGATAAATTATCATAATTCCTCCCTCTGTAAAATACATCTCGCATAGCTAAGCATATAAACAACAGTAGTTGTTTTGTGTTTTCATCGCTGAGTTGGAGAGGAAAAACATTAACAGCACTGTAAATATGTATAAAATAGGATTCACCCAAAAATCTATAAAATTGTGAAAACCTGATCTGTTTGGGGATGTCAACAGTCCAATTTGGTTTTAACGTGTTCAGACTAGTTATCAGTTCATCAGTATTGTTGAACCTGATTTCCGTTGCTTAAAAGTTGCTCAAGTTGTTTAAACATCTACGTACAATAGGTATGCTATTAATTATTAATACATTTTTCACAAAACCACACTTCAGAATGGGTAAACTGTTTTTGTTGGCGAACTTATTTAGGGTAATCACATTAGGGCTCAAACACACTGGAGAGCAACTTCCATATCAGTTCTTTCCAATGGTTTCCTTTTGCTGTACATGTACACATTTTGAATAATAAAAGTTATTTTACTCAAAGGAAAAGTCCTCAGAAATATTTTACTTATTCACTGATAATATTCAGTGTTTGCAATATCTATTTTGTTTTGGAATTTGTACAGAAACATGTAGAGACATGATTTGGTACAATTTGTTTTGCAGTAGATCCCTTGTTCTGACTCGGCCAAATCTATTGATCTGTCCTGAGTGCTCTCTCCTGCATTACTGCATGTCCAGCTGGTAGTTGTAAACAGTAGAGGTCCTTTTCATTTTCACATTTTAACGAAGTATGGACAAGAACTTAGAAGACCTTATTTCTCATTTCATTTTGTTTCCCCGAGGCTTCTGTTGGACTTCCTTGTCTTCTAAGTATTTTTCCTGGAGTCCATACTTCCTTTTTAGCTTGAAGTGTCTTTGATACTTTTTGTAACAGCATGATTCATTTCTCTATTTAAATCCCCATTCAATAGAAGATTATTTGAAGCAACATAAGTGGTACAAATTATAATTTAAAAAAGCACTTCATTAGTTTCAGTGCATGTTTCCTTTAGCATTTCACTATATTTCACCTCAGCTGAATCAGCATTAACTTTATGCATAGCTATTACAATAGTTCAACATTGCAAGATAAGTTTTTGATGATTATGATGGCATTAAACACATACAGATAGATAGATAGATAGATAGATAGATAGATAGATAGATAGATAGATAGATAGATAGATAGATAGATAGATAGATAGATAGATGGA